GCCGTCTCCTTTGGCGATCCTGGTGAGCCAGTGGCACTTCTGGGTGGTGTGATTCGACAGCTTCACGCCGCTATGAAACTTGCAAGGACCATCCAGAGTCTGCTCGTATGAGAAAGCCGGCAACCAGCTGGGCTTGCCACCTTTCTGTCGCTTGGGTGGAGGCTGCCCATCCGGCTGCTGGTCTTCAACTGTCGTGACCTGCCGGCTGCTGGAAGCCGGTTGCGGGGCCTTGCGCTTGTGGTCGTTCTACTGTTGCCGCCAACTGGCGTCTCCTGCCAGAGTTCTTGGAGCCTGAGGGGCCACTTTGCCAGTTGCGCTAACTTGAATCTCCGCCTTCATGGAGGAGTCGGCCGTGGCATACTTGTCTGCTATGATCAGCAGCTCGTCGAGGGTTTCTGGCTCGTCGCAGAGGAGCTTGTGCTTGAGGAGGGTGCCTTCTCTACACCCGGCGGTGAAGTACTCGATAGCCTGCACCTCGTGCACGCCCTCACAGGAGTTCCGAAGCTCGGCCCAACGCGTGAGGTAGTCGCGAGTCGACTCGTTGGGGCCTTGCATGCACAAGGAAAGCTGACGAGGCTTGGGAGGACGCTTGTACGTGCTTGTGAAGTTGCGAACGAATGCTTCGGTGAAGTCGACCCAGCTGTTGATGCTGCGGGGCTTCAGGCTGTTCAGCCATGTCCGGGACGTGCCCTGGAGCATGAGCGGAACGTATTTTACAGCGACACGCTTGTTGCCGTTCGCTATGTTGACAGCCATGGAGTAGTCAACCAGCCAGTCCTCCGGCTTCACGGAGCCAGTGTACTTGGGCGTGTCTCTTGGGAGCGTGAACCCTTTGGGAAAGGGCTCGTCTCAAATGCGGGGCCCGAAACAAGGCAGACCCAACTCGTCTTCTTCTTCCAGCGCCAGGGATCGGTGAAGTCGATCGATCCGGTGGCGGGCATCGTTTTCTCCGACTCCCTCTCGGCGGCCAAGGCGGTCGCTGAGAGTCGGATGGTCAGCAGGCGGCAGGGAGACTCGCCTTTCCTTGCGAGGAGGAGGAGGCGGACAGTCGTCCCGTCGTTCCACTGCTCTCGGGCGGCCGTCTTGGTCGCGCTCTATGGTAATGTGAGTCCGACTGTGGCTGACAGCCGGATCCTTGTCTTTCCTTCCTCGGGCGCCGCCAGTCGGCGTCCGAGGCGTCGCGCCTTGATCTCGGCGAAGGTCGTCGTTTTGCCGTTGCGGCGCCTCCGTGCGGCAACCGGCCTCGTTCTGCGCGGCAGCCACGTTGAGGAGCCGCTGGACTCGCTCCATCATCAGGCGGCGCTCTTCGCCCTCGAAGTTGTCCAGCTCGTCCGCCGCCGCCTGGGCAGCTCGAATGTTCTCCGCAGGCGTGGCGTACATAGGGCGACTTGCCCCGAACAGGTTGGCGAAGGCCACGCCGCGCTGCTGGACCGCGCTAAGGCGGCTGAGCCCAGCTGGGGCTGGCGAGCCACCCACAGCGCGATCCATCTCACGCTGGTAGGCTTCTGACAAGTGTCTCATGCTAGCCAGCTTCTTCGCGCCTTCGACGAGCTGAAGGCGGCGCGCCTCCAACGTCTCCGCGTCAGCGTCTTCCGGAATATGCGCAGTCAGGTCTTGTAGTGTCGCGCCAAGTGGGTCATGCGCTCCTCCGCCGGGAGGCTCGTCATGACCGATGACGAGCACCTCGGTGACGGTGCTTCCGTCGCTCTCCGCGCGAGGGAGAGGCTCATCGTAGACCACCACATTGGTGGGGAACGCGTCGAGCGACACGATGTCAGAGTCGACCAGCATCGGGTCGGTGGAGCCTACAGACTCCAAGTCCACGGCAGGCTCGCCGGCGACGTGGAGTTGGTCGAGGAGGCCCGCGAGGAGGCTCTCAGGGCCGCCCGTGCCTGCGTTGGATGCAGGTTCGTCGGAGAGGCAAACCTCGCCGACAAGATCGGCGAGGCAGCTAGCCGCATAGGCGATCTCAACGCCGTGCAGCGCGTCAGCGCAAACTCCGTCTGGCGTGCCGGGCTGGCTGCGCTCGCCAGGGAGAAAAAGGGTTCCCGTCCAAAGCAGGTCTCCGGACGACGGTGCACCAGGCCCCATGGTGGGCGCCAAATGTCGGGGGTTGGGTGCGACATATGCCAAAGGATGGCTTATCATGGTGGGGGCGAGTAGAACGTCGCCGGTGCCTGGAAACGGGATAAGGCGAAGACATGCACGCCGGCGAATCTAACCCAGCTTCAGGGCTCTCCGGGGAGATAATACCCCTACTGCTGCTCTACGGGGTCTCCGCATGATCACTATGGCAAAGTGTTTACACGGTTGCTCCTTGAGCTGTTTCCTGGAGGTAGGAGAAGGCAAGGCTAGCTCTCTCCTTCCTATATGATCTGGTCTAGTGCTAATGGATTCCAACCCTTTGCATGGATGCCCTGGAGGGTTTATATAGGCCTACCCCCCAGGGGTACAATGGTAATCCGGCTAGGCACGGGCCCAGCCGTCAGTCTCTCTGGCCACCGTCTTATCCGCGACTCCTGGGGCCCGCTGACTGGTGGGCCCCGCCGACTGGCTTGGTGTCGAGCCGACAGGCCGCGTCTGCCGCGGGCGGGTCTTGCCGGCTGCAGATTACTGTAGTCGTGCCTCTAATGACGCAGGCTCGGTCATGAGGTCGTGGTGGCAGCCCCGCCGTCTGGCGGGCGATCACTGTGGCCACTACTTGTCATATCTGATTAATGGCGTGTGGGGCCCGTGGGAGGGGCCGGCCGACTTCTGGTGGCCGACTCCCATCTGGGCCGACTGGTGGTGCTTTCTCCGTCTTTCGTACGCCCGCGGACTGGTGGGACCCATCATCCTTGGGTCGTACCAACAGGCCGTCGTGGGCACAGGGCTCCGCCTCCTGGGGCTGATGTCACGGCCGACATGGCAACAGTGTCGCGCCGCGCGGAGATCTCCGTGGGTACGGCGTACTGTAGCCACGCATGCCCTTGGAAAAGGGGTGGGAGTGGACCTTACTGTGGCCACTCCCCATCCACGCATGCCCTTGGAAAAGGGGTGGGAGTGGACCTTACTGTGGCCACTCCCCATCCCGTCCCTCTTTATGAGGGCATGGGGTTGTTGGCGTCGCGGGCCGACTCCCTAAGGCTGGCTTCTCTGGAAGTCGCCAGTCAGGAGTCGGCTCATCCTGAAGTCGTTCCTAGGACTCGGCCGCGAGTGGGCAGCCGGCCGCCTCGCTGCCGACTCTCAGAAGGCAGCACTTCGTCCTGGGGTCTCGAGGAGCGTAGTCTGCCCCAATGTCTTGAAAAGTTCTTGGACTAGGTTAGCCTACCCGTGGCCCATTATTCCGACAACCACATTCAAACATAGCATGACGGATATCTTCAGCACGTTCCTGACACAGGGCATGCAGTATTACTCCCTCCGTTCCTAAATATAAGTCTTTTTAGAAATTCCACTATGGACTACATACGGATGTATATAGACATGTTTTAGAGTGTAGATTCACTCATTTTACTTTATATGTAGTTCGTAATAAAATCTTTAAAAAGACTTACATTTAGGAACGGAGGGAGTAGTTTTTCTATGCCGGTTAGCAAGAATAGATTTACACGGAATAACTCCCATGTAACATCCGCCACACATGAACCTTAATTTTGCCTGGGACTTTCAGTTTCCATAGTAGCTTCCAGATTGGGTTGACAGCCGAGCCACCCTGGATGTTGCTTCCTTCAAACTTGCTTCCATACCGACCATTCCACTCTAGTTATAGATGCTCTTACGCTCATCTATGCCACCACCGAGGTTTGTCGCAAAAGATTGCAGTGGCAAAAGATTTATTTCTTTTGTGTTTATGTTTCCTACCCGCAAAAGAAAAATGTTTTTTACAGGGAAAGAAAAAAGAAAATATTGTTGGCTCGAAAATTCTTTGATTTCAGTGCTTCGGCTTTATTCTGCTCACCTTCTATAAACTTCTTTTCGCTCCTTCAAATCCAGGCAAAGAATACAGCATATTCTATTGCAAGGCATGTGCAGTGGTACTGTAATGTAGTAAGTTACTACAGGAAAGAAAAGGCTAGTGGCCACATCTTTTCCTAATTTAATTTTGATAATCAACATTTTTAGATGCATTAATCAATACTCCCTCTGTAAAAAAATACAAGAGCGTTTAGACTGTGTTCGGGACAAAGGAATTTTACAGGATTCGTGGAGGTTTCCTTTCCAATGGATATCTTTCCTTCAGAGGTGTTCGGTACACAGGAATAGCCACACCGATTCCTCAGGAAATGTTTCCCATCCTCCATTTTTCACGGGAACTAGAACATGCGCTCGAAGCTCATTTTTCGCGTAGGCCCGAGGCAAACAGGTGCAGCTCTGTGACTGCAGGATTTGATGTGCTTGACTGTAAAAGCGGGGTGCACCTGGTTTAGGAGAACAACGCAAGGAGACAGCAAAAAGGTAGTGGTGCATGTGGTCTGTGTTCATGTGTGACAATGATTCATCAAGAGACATGCACGGCCGGTCCTCCATTTTTCAGCATGGTGCATAAAAGCATTTTTAGATCCAATTTAGGATCTCATGACATTGACATGAGTATGACATGTAGACCTCGGTTTTGTGAACAAACTAAACTGAACAAAAAACACTACGAAGAAAACACTCCACACTCCTTCAATTATTATTATAAGATAATGAAGCAGTGGTGTAATAGTAGCATGCCCTAGGCCTTCTCCATTTGTTGCACCAGAATGCAAAATGACGATGGAACGGACGTAACATCATGTTCCACGTTTGAGGTTTTCTCCAGATTTTGTGGACCCAACTACTAACAGATCTGATGCAATTCCACTAATGATAATAGATGCAAAAAATTCCCTACAAAAAGAACCAACCAATCGGCCAGTCTCTTTCACAGCTGTTGAAGTCTTGTTGGTGCCATAGATCAGAGGAAGATATTCTTTCGGATATTTCAAGTGACAAAACTTCACTGCCATCAATCTCCGTCAGGTATCCTACATTGTTCAGTGGTGAAATCGCACCACAATGCATGTGATGTTGTCTGAGCTGTGCCGGGAGTGGGCCATTTCCGTCAGCTTCACCGCCGCTGCCTCAGGCCCGTCAGTTGCTCTCATAAGTGAAATAACATCCTTGTTTGTAAAAAGACACGAGATACTGATTAGCAGTGGACCAAATGAGATGCACAAATGATATGAAAGACCATGTTCACCACATTGAATGTGCCAACATGCAGCTACATCACTAAACCCATTATGGGCCGACCATGTGTTTGGGTTTATGCATCGGTAAAAAAAACTAACAAGGTTCTACTAAACCTTTCCAGATGCAAAGTTTAGTATTATTAGCGAACACAAGTCATGCCGCCATATGCCGTGCTAAATAGGTACCTCATTTTGCACAACATCCCAAAGACCATCTGTAGCGAGAACCAGGTATTCCAGGTCACTGTTGACCTGCGTTTCCTGCATTTTACAGTAGAACAGTACAAAAGATTCAGCAAGTAACACTTAAAATACTTTTCCAACAGCAAGACCTTCAGTGAAGTTGCGTTAACAGTAGAATACTAAAAAAATCCTGCATTCAGAAGTTCCAGAATCTAAATAAACTTCAGAACACACCATTTCCATTTTCCAGTGAAGTTGTGTTAACTGCTTGAGGCCCTTTGTCCCTTTTCATAAATTAACCTTCTGAAATGAGCTGTATAATATGACAAACATTGTTGTGACTTTACTGTTACCAGATATACACATAATATTCTGACAATGTTGGTTATCGTTATTCAATCTGCCTATCTACATGTTGACATTCCTCTCCAGAGTCCAGGCAAACAACTACTCCCTCCGTTCCTAAATACTACCTCCATAAACTAATATAAAAGCGTTTAGAATACTAAAGTAGTAATCTAAACACTCTTATATTAGTTTACAGAGGGAGTATTTGTCTTTTTAGAGATTTTAAATGGACTACCACATACGGATGTATATAGACATATTTTAGAGTGTAGATTCACTCATTTCGCTCCGTATGTAGTTACTTGGTTGAAATATCTAGAAAGACAAATATTTAGGAACGGAGGGAGTACATCAATAGCAAAATCCTGAAGGCTTGCCAAGGAGCCGCATATGATAGTTACACCCAAAAAAGGATGTTAAACATGCCCTGTTATGTAATCGTAGCAATATTATCTATTACTATTAGAACAGGGCTTAACCTCCCATCTTCGTTTCCCTGAAAAAAAATCACATCTCCATTTCATACAACACCTCTTTCACTTCCCACTCAAAATACCAGGAAAAGAATCCTCTCTCAGAGACAAATTAATGTAGTCTTCCTCCCGCCTCACAAACTCCTAAAATTAAGGAGGAAATGTGAAAAATTCTACAAAAGAATGCTGCCTATAAGATAAAACCACAACATCATATCTTGCATCACTGAAATGAGTTCTTGCTGCAGACAGCAATAGACGTGAACGTGAGTGTCTCTCACTAGGACGTGAAAATATCCATCCATAAGAATATCAGATAAACATGTGAAGGATGATAAAAATATTGGCATACATGATTTCTTTTGGTTTCGCAAGTAGCCTAGATTATTCTACTTCCAGTTGGAAGACCCATATAGATACCCAAGTTAAAGTTACAGCTTTCAGGACTGGAGTCAAGGTTGCAACAAGAATCTACTACCATCATCCAATAAATCTCTCCTACTTAAAAAAACGTAACATTCTGTCGTCCACCTCATCTTTGGTCCAACCTTACTTACGTCCTCCCCTCCCCCTTTCCGTTTTGATTTCCCCCCTCCTATCTCTGTTTCTTTCAATCGGTTTTCCCTAAAAACCACCTTAACTGCCCCACCTTTTATTAACTTCCCAAATAAAATTCGGATTTCTTAGGTAAGCCAATAAGTGCTACCAATACGTATTTACCAAATAAAATCATATTTCCTTACACAATCACATTAATACGGGCAGGTGAATTGCAGGCTAACATACTATAATATTTATACCTGTTGTGACGCACGGGCAATTATCTATCTACAGGACAATTATAAAATTCCAACTGTTTGATCCAGCAAACAATGGTCCAGATCACAGGTGATTAAAGGTGCCACCATCCCCATATTTTCTAACATGATCAATCAGTAAACGACATAATTTTATTAGACAGACTGAAATTGCAGTTTATGAAGGACTGCGGAAAATCCATTTGAATTCAGGTCAATGGTCTGTGAAGTGGGCATTCGTCCTTTCTTCTCAGGTTGATGGTCCATAAAGTGGGAATTCATTATTCCTCAATTGCATGGAAATGGATATTTGAGTCTACAAAAACAAAAACAGCACGAGGAAACCCCCGGTTCCTTCCTCAATAATACTGAAGTTCCAGGGACTGGGAATTAACACAGAACTAAATTAGATACCTGAATGTCAGGCTCTGCTATCACATAATTCTTCAATCCACGGTTGCCAAATGCACGGGACATTGCCAGAATTCCATCAACCCTCCAAGTAAAACCTGCAGAAGAGCTCGTACGAAAACAGAAAAACAAACCAAAATGATAACAGTATTTCTAAAGAACCTTCAACTAATAGAAAAATAGGAGACATGTGGTGTTAGACATGTACACAATTACTCGTGTAATTTCCCCATTTTAAAAACTTTGGATTTGAATAAGGAAAAAATGTAGGTTGACTTATAGTTCCCCATTGATGCCTCAAGAAAATAATTAAGGTAATACCTCGATTCTGGCTAGCTTCTACATCCAATTAAGTTGAAGCTAGCTAATACCAGAAGAGTACTGTAAGAACGAAGTCTTACCATCATAACTAACGCCACCTCCAGCATTCTCAATTCTCGTTCGCTCATCCTTTAAGTTAGGTCTATGGTCATCTGAGAGTGGGATAGCTACAAAACAGTGACAACCATGTCTTTTTATATTATTCACGGGTAAGACGGAACCAGAGAACAATTAGTGCTCAAAATTTGTAGAGCAATATAGCAACATAAAATGTATGCATGTATGGAAGAATTAAAAAAAGCTGAGGTGAACAGTCAATAACTGAATTTAGTATTTAGTGGGCCAGAGTATTCATTCCTTAACACACTAAAATAAATAACTGAAAAGCACTCATTTCATAACTGGGACTCAGAAGACACATGTCAAATCCCTAGCAAATACTCCCTCCACGAAAAGAATTATGGATCGGAGGGAGTATCATTTAAGCAAGTTTAATTGTACTATTAACTACATTACAAGGATATGCTAGCCACTGGATGGCAGAGAGTTTCAGTGTAGAGTAAGCATTGGCAGTTGTTGGTTGTATTGGATATCAGAAAGAAGGATCTTCACTAACAAAAATACGATAAGAAAAATATTACCTTTGCCACCTTTTAAAGCGATAGCACGTGAATCGCCAACATTTGCTACATAAAGTTGTTCACCAACCAAAACAGCAGCCAAAGCTGTCGAACCATCCTCCCTATAAGGAGTGGTTACCGATTCTAAGAAATCAGCATCACTTTTCAGGAAGGCCGTCTCTGTTTTAAAGTAATCAACAGTGATAAGATAAGTATGATGTGGCACTGGTAAGGGCCTTACTATGCAAGAAGGTATAGTAAACAGAAGGAAAAACACATTACTTAGAGCAAGCTTTGGGTTTCTCAGGAACTGAGGATGCTCGATAAGGTTGTCAAGCAGATGTTCCTTTAGATATTCAGCAGCAAGTGCTCCTGCATGACCTAGTGTACCAAATATTTTAAAAGCATAAACATGGTAGCCAATGAATCACAGACTAATGAAGGCAAGTTTTAAGATAATACCATCAAATACACCAAACAGGCTAACTGTCTGTCCCTTAATTTTAGCGAACTTTACGTCGTAGCGATCCTCCATAGTAGGTCTCCTCCCCTTAAAACTTGAATATCCACAGCTCAGATTACCATCCTCACTGGCAACAAATTGTTTATATTACATCAATCCAAATAGTATGTCAACCTCTTAATACAACGAAGAATCATGAGCACATGAAGTGAAAGGAATTGCACGTACGAGCTACCTGGAGGTCAATGGCTAGAAGATAAATTTAATCGTAGTGTAATTATTTTTTAGAAGTATTCAAAATGAAATACAGTAGCTCATATTGCTAGGATTGTAGTACAAAAGTAACTCTCTGAGATGTTTCAGAAGCTAATGAAGCACAACTGAATCGCCTCTTCTTTTCAGTCAGCGCTTCAGAATAGATGGTATGGCGACATTCCCTAGCATTTTATCCAATTGGTATCTGTCAATGGAGCTCTCGGCGCGGCGGTGGCACAAACCCAGATTGAACGCCCGCCGGTAAGCATCTAGATATGGCCAGCATCCATGGGTTTCCACGAACACGCCAGTGGCGCACACGGGCATTAAGGCATCACCAGGCGGGGTGTTCATTGGACCTTTAAATTACCTCTCGAAGCCGCCGCTAAGCAAGTCACGCAGCACCGCTCGTCTCGTCGCCAAGCCGCGCCGCGGCTGCAACTGTGGTAGAGCCGACGAGGACGAAGAGGAGGATTCAGGCGTCGTCCTGCCCACAGAGCCTGAGGCCGCGGCGCGGAACCCGCGCCCGCCGGGTGTCGCGCGGTGCGTCACGACGGAGGCGGTCACCCGGCGCCGACCCGCCGCTCCAATGCCGACCAGACCACGCAGGTTAGCGGCAGCGACGCGTGCCATCACTAGCAGGTTTCTAGACCTGCCGGAGGGGGCTAGTGAGCTGGGTCTTTGGTTCTGGATGGGAGAAAAAGGAGAGAAAAAAGGGGCGGTTATTCAAGGGCAAACCTAGACATATGTGCCGTGCTTATAGGGCCGGCCCATGGGCATGGGGGCATGGGTTTTTGGCACAACACGGCACGCGAATATATATGGGCCAGGCTGGCTTTCGGCCTGCCACAGATCACAGGCTTAAGCCGGCACGCCACGACCCTTTTAGCACAGCATGGCCCGGCAAGTGGCTCAAGTCGGCCCTTTTAGCAGTTTTGACTTGTTTCAGGCTTTTTTTGGGGTTGTTTTAGCCTCTCTTTTTTTACGAAATTTTACCTTTTAACTTAAAATTAGGATGCCCTCAAAAAAAACTTAAAATTAGGAAATATGCACGTGCTTTACAACGGGAGAAACAAATTGTCGCATGTCCCTAGTGATTTTATCTATGTTGCCACTTCTCTTCGCATTTGTAATTCAGTAAACTTGTAATGATGGTTGGCATCACCCTGTCTCGTATACACTTGGTGCATGGACCGTCCCCAACATTCATGCTTTACTACAGTGCAACCGCCTGCACTCAAACATCCCTTGCCCATCATCAACACCATTAGCTTTTTATTATGCAAAGGATTTGTGAAAGGTGAAAGATACATCATGATGCAAGAATTGTATTAGAAAAATATCAATATTTTTAAGTTCTAACTAACTTCACATAGGTTTGTGTCAATCCACCATCTTCATGAATATGAAATGTGATTTTATTCTTCCAAGTATTTGTGTGTGTGTGCAGGTATGGTCGATAGTTGTTTGCGTGAATCTTCTATTGGTTCGATTAACCTTGGTTCTCTAGCGAGGGAAGTACTATCTGCTACTATACTACATCACCCTTCCTCTTCGGGAAAATCCCAACGCCTATCACAAGGAGGAATGATGACTGCAACAAGCAAATAATTAACGTGGCTCTAACAAAATATAACGGAAGGCATCTAGAGCATCGGTCTCGGGCTGTTACAACTCTCCCCCACTTATAAGAGATCTCGCCCCGAGATCTTAGGAATGAGAAGAGGAAGTAGTAAAACTAAGTTGCTTCTTTCACAAACGAGTGAAATCAACGGCCGTTGAATGGTTGAGAAGCTAAGAAGGTACACAAAGGAGATTAATGAAGTTGAAATCACTCAGTAGAAAAGAGAAAGGATGAACACCATGAGAACCTTGGAGATTGCAAAGACATATAGGATGCATAAAGTGTTGGAAATATGTCCTAGAGGCAATAATAAAATGGTTATTATTCTATTTCCTTGTTCATGATAATTGTCTATTGTTCATGCTATAATTGTGTTATCCAGAAATCGTAATACATGTGTGAATACATAGACCACAACATGTCCCTAGTGAGCCTCTAGTTGACTAGCTCGTTGATCAATAGATGGTTACGGTTTCCTAACCATGGACATAGGATGTCATTCATAACGGGATCACATCATTAGGATAATGATGTGATGGACAAGACCCAATCCTAAGCATAGCACAAGATCGTGTAGTTCGTCTGCTAAAGCTTTTCTAATGTCAAGTATCCTTTCCTTAGACCATGAGATTGTGCAACTCCCGGATACCGTAAGGGTACTTTGGGTGTGCCAAACGTCACAACGTAACTGGGTGGCTATAAAGGTACACTACGGGTATCCCCAAAAGTATCTGTTGGGTTGGCACGAATCAAAACTGGGATTTGTCACTCCGTATGACGGAGAGGTATCTCTGGGCCCACTCGGTAGGACATCATCATAATGAGCTCAATGTGATCAAGGAGTTGTTCACGGGATGATGTGTTACGGGAACGAGTAAAGAGACTTGTCGTAACGATATTGAACAAGGTATCGGTATACCGATGATCGAATCTCGGGTAAGTATCGTACCGATAGACAAAGGGAATTGTATGCGGGATTGATTGAATCCTCGACATCGTGGTTCATCCGATGAGATTATCGTGGAGCATGTGGGAGCCAACATGGGTATCCAGATCCCGCTGTTGGTTATTGACCGGAGAGTTGTCTCGGTCATGTCTACGTGTCTCCCGAACCCGTAGGATCTACACACTTAAGATTCGGTGACGCTAGAGTTGTAGAGATATTAGTATGCGGTTAACCGAAAGTTGTTCGGAGTCCCGGATGAGATCCCGGACGTCGCGAGGAGTTCCTAAATGGTCCGGAGGTAAAGAATTATATATAGGAAGTCCAGTTTCGGCCACCGGGAGAGTTTCAGGGGTCACCGGTATTGTACCGGGACCACCGGAAGGGTCCCGGGGGTCCACCGGGTGGGTCCACCTATCCCGGAGGGCCCCATGGGCTGAAGTGGCGTGGGAACCAGCCCCTGGTGGGCTGGTGCGCCCCACCCAAGGGCCCAAGGCGCCTAGGGTTGGAAACCCTAGGGGGGCGTTGCCCCCCGAGGGGGCATGCGCCCCCTGGTTGGAAACCCTAAGGGGGCCATTACCCCCCGAGGGGCCGCCGCCCCCCCTTTAGATGGGATCTCCAAGGGGGCATGCGCCACCCTAACCCCTATATATAGTGGTGGGGAGGGAGGGCAGCCGCACCCTAAGCGCTGGCGCCTCCCTCTCCCTCCCGTGACACCTCTTCCTCCTCCAGTAGCGCTTGGCGAAGCCCTGCTGGAATCTCGCTGCTTCCACCACCACGCTGTCGTGCTGCTGGATCTCCATCAACTTCTCCTCCCCCCTTGCTGGATCAAGAAGGAGGAGACGTCTCCGCTCCGTACGTGTGTTGAACGCAGAGGTGTCGTCCGTTCGGTGCTAGGATCATCGGTGATTTGGATCATGACGAGTACGACTCCATCAACCCCGTTCTCTTGAACGCTTCCGCTCGCGATCTACAAGGGTATGTAGATGCACTCCTCTCTCCCTCATTGCTAGATGACTCCATAGATTGATCTTGGTGATGCGTAGAAAATTTTAAATTTCTGCTACGATCCCCAATAGTGGTATTGGAGCTAGGTCTATGCGTAGTTTCTATGCACGAGTGGAAAACAAGTTGTTGTGGGCATCGATTTTGTCAATTTACTTGCCATTACTAGTCTTATCTTGATTCGGCGGCATTGTGGGATGAAGAGGCCCGGACCGACCTTACACGTACACTTACGTGAGACAGGTTCCACTGACTGACATGCACTAGTTGCATAAGGTGGCTAGCAGGTGTCTGTCTCTACTACTTTAGTCGAATCAGATTCGATGAAAAGGGTCCTTTTGAAGGGTAAATAGAAATTGGCGTATCACGTTGTGGTTTTGGCGTAGGTAAGAAACGTTCTTGCTAGAAACCTATAGCAGCCACGTAAAAATTTGCAACAACAATTAGAGGACGTCTAACTTGTTCTTGTAGCATATGTCGTGTGATGTGATATGGCCAAAAGGATGTGATGAATGACATATGTGATGTATGAGATTGATCATGTTCTTGTAATAGGAATCACGACTTGCATGTCGATGAGTATGACAACCGGGAGGAGCCATAGGAGTTGTCTTAATTTATTGTATGACATGCGTGTCAATGAAAACGCCATGTAATTACTTTACTTTATTGCTAACCGTTAGCTATAGTAGTAGAAGTAATATTTGGCGAGACAACTTCATGAAGACACGATGATGGAGATCATGATGATGGAGATCATGGTGTCATGCCGGTGATGATGATGATCATGGCGCCCCGAAGATGGAGATCAAAAGGAGCAAAATGATATTGGTCATATCATGTCACTATTTGATTGCATGTGATGTTTATCATGTTTTTACTGCTTAGAACGACGGTAGCATAAATAAGATGATCCCTCATTAAAATATCAAGAATTGTGTTCCCCCTAACTGTGCACCGTTGCTAAGGTCCGTTGTTCCGAAGCACCATGTGATGATCGGGTGTGATAGGTTCTAACGTTCGCATACAACGGGTGTAAGCCAGATTTACACATGCAATACACTTAGGTTGACTTGATGAGCCTAGCATGTACAGACATGGCCTCGGGACACGGAAGACTGAAAGGTCGAACATGAGTCGTATAGAAGATACGATCAACATGGAGATGTTCACCGATGATGACTAGTCCGTTTCACATGATGATCGGACACGGCCTAGTTGACTCGGATCATGTATCACTTAGATGACTAGAGGGATGTCAATCTGAGTGGGAGTTCATTAAATAATTTGATTAGATGAACTTAATTATCATGAACATAGTATAAAACTTTGCAATATGTCTTGTAGATCAAATGGCCCACGCTAATGTTGCCCTCAACTTCAACGTGTTCCTAGAGAAAACCAAGCTGAAAGACGATGGCAGCAACTACACGGACTGGGTCTGTAACCTGAGGATTATCCTCATAGCTGCCAAGAAAGCATATGTCCTTGATGCACCGCTAGGTGAAGCACCTGTTTTCCCAGCAACTCAAGACGTTATGAATGCCTGGCAGTCACGTAGTGATGATTACTCCCTGGTTCAGTGCGGCATGCTTTACAGCTTAGAACCGGGGCTCCAAAAGCGTTTTGAGCAGCACGGAGCATATGAGATGTTCCAAGAGCTGAAAATGGTTTTCCAAGCTCATGCCCGGGTCGAGAGATATGAAGTCTCTGACAAGTTCTATAGTTGTAAGATGGAGGAGAATAGTTCTGTCAGTGAGCACATACTCAAAATGTCTGGGTTGCACAACCGCTTATCTCAGTTGGGAGTCAATCTCCCAGATGATGCGGTCGTTGACAGAATCCTTCAGTCGCTCCCACCTAGCTACAAGAGCTTTGTGATGAACTTCAATATGCATGGGATGGAAAAGACCATTCCTGAGGTATATTCAATGCTGAAATCAGCGGAGGTGGAGATCAAAAAGGAACATCAAGTGTTGATGGTGAATAAAACCACTAAGTTCAAGAAAGGCAAGGGTAAGAAGAACTTCAAGAAGGACGGCAAGGGAGTTGCCGCGCCTG